TGTGCTCTGGTTTGTGGTCTCTGTTAATGGGCTGGGGCAGTGTCCAAGGTCTAGGGTTTAGATGCAAGGGCTCGCCTCTCTCAGACTCATGCCTAACCTAAACCAAAAGCCCGAATTCCTGAAGCCCTCAGCTCTTAAACTTAAACCCTAGACCCTAGCTATTCAAGTTTTAATTTTAACAACTTCAACCCCAAACATTTTGTGGACAAACTGCGAGTCTCAACATGTACCATCTCTGCCATGATTGATACTTATCGGTATCGTTTGCTCTATTATTTTGTTCTGGCTGCTTTTTTTTTCCATCATTTCCGCTGGCAGTCGGAGGGCCGGGGAGCGGGGCGGGGTTGGGGCGGAAGGCTGGACGTTGGATTTTACGACCGCAGGTGTTCACCATTGATTTCCACTGGAGGGCGGAGGTTCAAGCAGGCGGGCAAGTTGGCGGGCAGTCGGTTGTGAGCTGGATCTTACCACCGCCATAGAAAATTACATCCCTTTTGTTGTTTTCCGGTATAACTCCTGTTATATACATATTCATGATCTCTCCATCACTTAATACTTTAGTTATGATTTCCGTTGGTGCGCGAAGAGGCGGGCGGGCGAGTGGGCGGGCAGACGACTGGGAGCCGGATTTGCGACAGTCACAGGGACTTTTCATGTCTTCATCATTTTCATCATTTAAGTCACCGTCCCAAAGCTCCAGTCAAACACACCCGCGCACACACGCACAACGAATGCCGAGTTTTGAAAAAAGAACGCGCACCAAACTGCTTGCGCCGAAAGACACAAAATTGCAAAAGGTGCTCGGTAGAGACTGCAAACCCACCAACCCTGTGATGGTGCTCAATGGCAAGAAGGGCCAAGCAGCCCAATCAGGACCCAAGTCGTAAATCCTAAACCTAAACCCTAAACCCTAAACCCTAAACCCTAAACCCTAAACCCTAAACCCTAAAACCTAAAACCCTAAAATAAACCGATACATCCTGACTCCGCACTCACCGAGACCTCGCGTCCCCGAGCCCTAAAAACCCGAAGTGTTCCGAAGTGTAGAGTGTGGGGTTCAGGGTCTCGGCAGTCGGGTTCAGGATTTTGGGGTTTGGGGGTTGCCTTAAACCCTAGGGCTTAGGGTTTAGGGTTAAACCCTAAACCCTAAACCCTAGACGCGGAACCCGACCTCCACACGCTGAGCTTTGCCGAACTCCAGGGCAATCGCATCCACAAAAGTCCTGCTCTTTCTCTCTGCCCGGCTGCCAAAACTCACCAAACTGGTCTAGGGTCTTAGGGCTTGCCTTATTTTGGTTTTTGGGTATAGGTTTTGGGGGCAGCCTACCATCATCACCTATGGGTTGTTAGCCGATACCGTCATGCACCTATTAACTGCCGCCTCTCCGTAGAAAGGCTTCTCACCTGTTCAGTGTGCTTCACATACAAGCACGATGCAAGCGATGGATATACCTACCGCCTGATAAGGAACCCGTAACCCGATGTAAAGCTTAAGACAAGAAGCACGCAAAATTGACGTCTGAGCGACCATTTGTCCAAACTTTATGCCCTTCCAAATACCTTTGGCGTTGTAAGCGAGGTTATCAGAACTTGATGAAGGCTATAGTTGGATACATGTATAACTATAGCTGCTATCTTTAACTTTCAACCGACCTATGGTATCCATTGTAGTTCCCTGTTCTTGGTTTAACTAGTTTTGGTGAAACCCAAAAGAGGAACTACAACGGAGACTAGAGGTACTTCCCATGCCAACTTCATTCTGGCAGGTCTGCGGCTACGGCACCTGTTGTCGGGCGTAGGTATATTCTCTGTTGTAGTTCTTTTTGGGGCTACAGTTCAAAAATTGTAGGATCCTAAAAAAATACATAGGAACTACAATGGAGACTATAGGTAGGGTGAAGCACACAGCGCTGTTTTGGGGTTTGGGGGAAGCCCGTTTGCCTGTACTTCGAGGACTGCATGCGCCAGTTCCGCATCGGCTGCACCTGAGATGAATTTAGGGCTTATAAGGGTTTAAGGCTCAAGGCTTTGGAGCATGGTGGGGTTTGCGGTGCCGCAGGACAAAGGACAAGTACTTTGAAAGGTACATGGCATTCCGCAGGATTGATTGCAAATGCTTAGTGCTTTTGCTTAGTGCTTACGGATACAAAAGCGGTTCAAGTCTTACGGATTATAGAGTGTGGGATTGGAGTGTAGGTAGAGGGGTGTAGGGTAAGTTTAGGGGCGGACGCACGTTAGTCGACTGTCACCTCCCGTGAACAACCCCAACACATGCAAATCCAAAGAGAAAGACGCGACCTAAACCCCTAAACCTTAAACTGACCAAAACACTCAATCCCTAAATCTTAACCCCCCAAAACGCCTAAACCCTAAACCCGAACCCAGCCGGAGCGCTGGGGATGCACGGTAGACGCCCGTTACGTGGATCCGATCTCCGGGGCGGACCTTGCGATTAGTTGAGTTTAGGGCTTACCAGGACCGCCCAAGTCCCCAAGTACCCTTTGACGGGCTCTAACATTTCTCATAAAGAGGTATAATTAAGGGCTACAATAACGGGTAGCTGGGCGGTCTAGGTAGGGTAGAGGGTTTGGGCTCTTGTTCTCAAGAATGAGTGTACTCCAGCTCGCTGCGGGTAGAGGCGTACATGTATGTGTATATATATATATAGATATGTGTAGATATCTACCTACACACATGTTCGTACATAGGTTTATACTTCTTTAATCTTCATCTGCTGTCTGTCTGTGTCTGTCTGTCTGTCTGTCTGTCTGTCTGTTTGTCTGTCTGTCTGTCCGTCTGCCGGCCTGCCTGCCTGCCTGCCTGCCTGCCTGCCTGGCTGTCTGTCTGTCTGTCAGTCTGTCAGCCTGTCAGTCAGTCAGTCAGTCAGTCAGTCACCTACCTACCTACCTACCTACCTACCTACCTACCTACCTACCTACCTACCTACCTACCCACCTATTGACCTGTCTACCTATCTATCTCTGTGCATCCATCCTCGTAAATACATGTATGTATATTTATGTGCTCATTTGAATACAGGCTTCATATATAATAAGGGCATATCTATGTCGACTTACTTTATGTCTGCACATGTTAGAGAGAGAGAGAGAGAGACAGAGCGGGAGAGAGAGAGAGAGAGAGATATATATATATATATACAGACAGAGAGAGAGAGAGAGAGAGAGAGCGAGAGAGAGAGAGAGAGAGGGAGAGAGGGAGAGAGAGGGAGAGAGGGAGAGCGAGAGAGAGGGAGAGCGAGAGAGAGAGAGAGACAGGGAGAGAAAAGAGAGGGAAGGACAGAGAACGAGAGAGACAAAGAGAGACAAAGGGAGGGAGGGGCGGCAGCAGCAAAAGCAGCACGAGCAGCTTGTTGTTGCGCTGCTGGTCTTGTTTTTGGCGCCGGCGGCCGGGGTAGTCCTGTAGTCCTGGTGCTTGTGGTGGGCAGGTGCCGGTGCTGGCATTGCTTGAACTGGTATTGCTGCTGGTGCGGGCGCCGAAGATGCGACTGCCAAACCAACAACAACTTAAGCCTGGCGTACGAAGCCCAGAGACCCTGCAAACTTCAGACGCTCCAGTCTGAGGTCTAGGCCGCCACATCACAACACATAATTAAACTAACATAAAGACATGAGTGCGACCCGATCTTCCTCCGCTCCCCCCGCACCCGGCTGACGATGTGCGACCAGGCACCGTGACAATCAATACCAGGCATCCCACAGCCCTAGAACTGCACCCACCGTAAAGTCTGACTCTAAGACTGTTAAGCTCCGGGACTTATAGTTGTGTATATAAACATATAAACAAACACATACATAAATAGGTATATACCTACCTACCTACCTACCTACCTACCTTCCTTCCTTCCTTCCTTCCTACCTTCCTACCTTCCTACCTTCCTACCTTCCTACCTTCCTACCTTCCTACCTTCCTACCTTCCTACCTTCCTACCTTCCCACCTTCCTACCTTCCTGCCTACCTACTATAGAGAGCGAGAGAGAGGACGGACAATTTCAACCAAGGTGACGCCGCAGTCATCCGAAAATGTAGATATCCCCTTATATAAAATCGCACCTGAAGTCGGGTCGGGCTTACTTCGGGGCCTGATTCACAAGGTCGTCGTACACGACGATCGCCACGTTCTGTGGCGTCTCTCCTTCCGGAATCAGCTCGGGCGTCTCCTCTGCCAAGGGCTTTCGGACTGAGAGGGTGGGGCCTCTAGGGCTGTAGGACTTGGGGAGTGTGTAGGGTTTAGGGTTTCGGGTTTCGGGGTTTAGGGTATAGGATACAAGGTCTGCTGAAAAGTTTCGGGGTCTATTATTATAAAGGGTTCTATATGGGTTTCTACAGGAGATAGGGACGTTAGGGACTACTTCTGCAACCATGGCTCATGTGAGAATCTGGGTACCAATAGGAGGACAAGGGGACGAGGAGTTGCAGAAGTGGTCACGGGGTCGTCGCGGCGTCGCCTTCGTCACATTTCGTTCTAACTGGAAGAGCACATGGTCGCCAGGGCTGACGTCGTCAACGACAAGCAGCACAAAGTGCCGCATCAGCAGGAACAGCTGTGTATTGGGCTCCGGTTACGTTTGGGGTAACCAACACGAAAGCCAAGAGCCTAGTTACCTGTATGCTCCATTAGGGATACTTTAAGCCTAGAGGGTTTAAAGAACTGTCACCTTCTTTTCCAAAGTAAGTGAGCTGTTACAAGGCAAACTAGGATGGACTATGATAGCCTCCCTACAACCGAAACTGAACAGCCTTAAACCCGAAACCCTCAACCGTACTGTATAGGGAAACAAACCCTGCGGGAAATACTCTTTAATTGGTCGACGTTTGGGGCTCAATAGAAATGGACTACTTTACAATGTTAGGGTTCAGGGTTTGGGGTTCTTGGATTCCCGAAAACTGGCACACATCGGGGTTTGAAGTAGAAAAATCCGGTTTGGGGATATGTTATGGGGCCATCAGGCCATAAGGGATTTTGGGGTAGGTCACGTTCTGCATCTATAGGGAAGGGGATACGATCACTGATCCTAGCCCTAAACCCTGAACCCGAAACCTAAACCGAAAAGCCTAAACTCTAAACCATGTATTTCACATCGTCCTAGAAAGGCCAACTGTAAAGTCCGAAGTGTGGAATGTGAAAAGCCCCGACTGCTGGCTGCGCTTGGCCCAGGAGAACCTAGCCCAAGCAACGAGTTGGTCGTGAGCTGGAGCCGCAGCAGTGGCTTAGGGTTTAGGGTTTAGGGTGCGAGAAGTGGGTTTAGTTCAGGGTCCTTTCGTTAGGGCTTAGGCAAATGAGCCGCTCAGAGTGGTCTGGATCGATGTCGCAAGGACACCCTTGCATCCCAGCATAGCGCAAGAAAAAAAACACAATGTCCGAGAATGGTGCAGGAAACCGTCAGGATGCAGGTCTCATCGGAAGGTTTATGACCAAGGAAAACTGTGAAGGTGTCCCATGCATTGCAGAGCTTGAGGGTACAGGGTTTAGGGTGCTTGGTTAGGTTATCTCGGGCTATAACTATATAGCAGGCGCCAGCCGGGGGACTATTCATGGGGGGGGATTATAAGCTTCGGGGATGAGAGTCAGGTCCTGCAGCTTGAGGACCTGCTTGTCCGTGAAGTGGCAGTCGTTGTGGATGATTTGAAACGAGTGGCCTGGTCAGCCAAGACAAGAACCCTCAACCCCCTTAACCGTAAGCACTAAACACGAAACCCAAAGCACATGCTCCGGTGACGCCCGCGCTTCGAAACCACAGCAACGCAGAATTTGCATCAAGAGCTACGGATCACAGGGCTTATAGGGCTTGGGGGGTATAAGGAAATTACAAAGGTTAAGGTTTTAGGGTTTAGGGTCTTCCGAGATCGAGCTTCCGATTGAAACCTTCAGGAGCTAAACCCTTAAGCCCAAACCTACACCCTAAACTGCTTGCTGCTAACACCTAGTACTGGCAGGACAATAAACCCTAAAACCCTACACCTAGGGTGGAATGTAGGGGCCCCAATATGGGAATAGGGGTTTGGGTTCCTGTATAGGATGATGATGATGATAGCAAGGCACCGGACCCTAATTCAGAGAACCTAACATGATAGGATGTCGGGTGTGGATAGGACTCTGCAGCACCTGAGTCCGTAGAAGTGGGAATAGAATGCATAATGTACGGGCCTTAATAATTAGAACAGGGTTTTGGGGCCCATTATACTATAATCATAAAAAAAACATCCCAAAATAGTATAGGTAATTTTGTTAGGCCCCTATATTAGTATGCCGGCTGTGGAAGAGTTCAGGGTTCCGGGTCCGAGACCTGAGGACCCTAAGCACGGCCGGGTGTAGGGTTTAGGGTTTATAGGGTTTAGGGTTTAGGATTTAAGGTTTAGGGTTTATAATCGGGGCGTAGGGAGGTAGGGTTTGGGGTAAACCCTAAGCGCCCTCAGCCTAAGATAACAACCAGTAATCCTAAACTTTGAAGCCTTGAAACAATACCAATCTTGAGTTCCACAAGCCGCAAGCTCCATCCTCTGTAGACAAACTGAACATTGAACTCCCGAATCCTATGCCCAAACTCTGACTCTGACCTTATAGACCCCAAACCTGAACCATCTATGCCTTTAACGTTTATTGAACCCTATAAACCCCAAGCAAGGACCGGAAACACGAAACCAAGGCAAGCGGCTTGAACCGCAAACATCGCACTTCGTGGGCTCCTCGATAGTCCAGTGGCTGAGCAAGCAATTGACCTGGAGGGTCTTGCGGTTTCGTGGGCCCTAGAGACGAAACCGCATTTTAAGGGAGGGGTGGGGGGGGGGTGGGGGGG